GTGCAATGCCCGTGGAGGTCAGAAGAGACTGTTGGATCCCCTGGAACTGGAGCCGACAGTTGTTAGCTGCCATGTGGGTGCTAGGATTTGAACCCAGGTCTTCTCCAAGAACAACCAGTGTTCTTAACTGCTGAGCCATCTCTCCAGCCCCATAAGATGTTTTTAAAGAAAGACCCAGAAGACAGGTATGATGGCACACACATGTAATCTCAGTACTTGGGAGAATGAAGCAGGAGGACTACCACAAGTCTGAGGCCAGCTTGGACTACACAGGGAAATTGAGAGCAGCCTGGACTACTCAGTGAGACCTTGTCTTAAGAAAAAAGCTCTAGAAGCTATGCATGGTGGCACACACCTTTACTCCCAGCACTTGAGAAGCAGAGGCAGGAGGATCTCTGTGAGTTCAGGGCCAGCTTGGTCTACATAGTGAGTCCAGGCCAGCTGTGACTACAGGGAAACCCTGTCTCAAAAATACCAAAAAAACAAACAAAAAAACCCCAACCCTCTAGAAACACAAATCTGGAAAAAGAAGCCACCAGTGAGAATTAGTGTAGCTTTTTTTGTACGTTTTTTAGTACTATATATATGTAGTTTCTTTTCTTTCAAACATTAATTACTTATAATAACTACTTAATTAAGCCCGTCCCCACAAAAAGCTTTTTTAAAAATAAAATTACTGCAATCATAAGAAGGGAGATGAGGGCCAGGCGTGGTGGCACACACCTTTAATCCCAACACTTGGGAGGCAGAGCCAGGCAGATCTCTGTGAGTTCAAGGCCAGCCTGGCATAGTGGGTTCCAGGCCAGTTGGGGCTACAGGGAGACCCTGCCTCAAAAAAAGACAAAAAAAAAAAAAAAAAAAAAAAAAAAAAAAGGGAGATGAGGGCTGGAACGATGGCTCAGCTGTTAAGAGCAATTGCTGCTCTTGCAAAGGATGGGGGTTCAGTCCCCAACACCCACATGTTGGCTCAAAATCACCTGTAATTCTAATTTCAGGAGATTTAACACCCTCTTCTGGACTCTATGCTCTCCTGCACACACAGTGCACATATACTCTCATGCAGGTTCACACATACACACAAATAAAAAATAAATAAATCTTAAAAAAAAGGAGAGAGAGAGAGAGAGAGAGAGAAGGGGTTATATTGAGCCCATAAGATAATAAGACTTTAAGAGCTAGGTCTCATGGCAAATCTATAATCCTAATACTAGGAAAGTAAAGGTAGGGAGATCATGAGTTTGATGCCAGCCTGGGTTATACAGAGAAATTCTGTCTAAAAAATTAAAACCAAACTAAACCAACTAAAAACAGATTCTGACCCCCCGCCAAAAAAAAAAAAAAAAAAATCGATGAAAATTTTAGCAATAGGTTATAACCTTGGGCCTTTGACTAATCAAAATCCTGTTATTTGAGTACAATGAACTTCTTTTCTCCCAATTTTTTGTTTATTTTTGAGACAGGGTCTCATTATGTAGTCCTGGCTGGCCAGGAAACCTCTATATAGACCAGACTGGCCTTGAATGCATAGAGATCTGCCTACCTCTGCCTCCCAAGTGCTGGGATTAAACGTACAAGCCAGTACATCCAGCTATTTTTTTTCCAATTTTTGAGACTTGGTCTCACTAAGTAAGCTCAGCTGGCCTTGAACTCGTCTTTCTACCTCATCCACTGTGCTGTTTAGGGTTTCACCGAACATCTTAAGGAAGAAATGTACTGAGAAATTACAGGAGATTTGAATGACCTCTGTATTAACTCAAAGCTTAGTAAAAAAACAAGAAAGAAGGAATTTACCAAAGAGCCACAGAATAAGCAGGGACCAGAACCCTCTTGTTCACAGACAATCCGACCACAGATCAGACAGTTATTGATGAGCTTGTGCTTCTGGCCAAGGCAATCACAAGGGTGGCGCCCAGGAAGTAGGACTGCAAGCTTATCCTGCCCCTCTCTGGTATACAAGTTGACAAATTTCGTCTTCTTCTTCACTGAGTTGGTGCTTTCTTGTGCCTAATTGTACAAAGACATCATAAGAACACTGAGTAACGACAAGGAAAAGAATCAAGGAGGAAAAAAAAAATTCCAAAACCCTCAGTTCTATTCAGTAACAAAGACCATGAAAAAGGGTAAAATACAAATTACTTATAATTAGAGGTCTAATAAAAGTTTATGATCTAAGCTGGGCATGGTGGTGCAAGTCTGTAGTCCCAGCACTTGGGAGGCAGAGGCAGGCAGATCTCTGTGAGTTCAAGGCCAGCCTGGTCTACACAGTGAGTTCCAGGACAGCTGGGGCTACAGACCCTGCTTTAAAAAGACAAAAAAATAAATAAATAAAAATTAAAAAAAAAAGTTTATGACCTAGAAATATAATAATTACCTTGTTTTCTCTTAGTAACTCTCAACTCCCTAATAGGCTTAGAGGAAGGTAAATGTACAATCAAAGGAATTTATTTTACATTTATTTATGTATGCATGTGTGTTTGAGTGTGCACATGCACATCCCATGGTGCATGTATGGAGGTCATAAGATAGCTTGCAGGGGTCAGTTCTTTCTTTCTACCAGGTAGGTTCAGAGGATTGAACTCAGGTCATCAGTCTTGGCTGCAAGCACCCTCACCTGCTGAGCTATTTTGCTGTCCAATGATACATATATATCTATATTTGCTGTCCAATGATTGATCGATTGATCTATCTGTCTATCTATCTATCTATCTATCTATCTATCTATCTATCTATCTACCTATCTATCTATCTAGAGAGAAAGAAAGAGACAGATGGATGGAGGGAGACAGAGAGAGAGAGAGAGAGAGAGAGAGAGAGAGAGAGAGATTGAACATGCAGATGTTTTTTGTTTTGTTTTGTTTGAGACAGGGTCTTCCTGTAGCTCCAGACAGCCTGGAACTTTGATCAGAGTATGTAGACCATGCTGGCCTCGATCTCACAGAGCTCTGCCTGCTTCTGCCTCTGCCTCCCAAGTGCATTAAAGGCATGCCACAACACACCTGGCTACCACCATGCACATTCTTTGTATGGTACATACTCAGAATTTTTTGGTTCTTAGTTTAATTAATTCTCTTCTTTTGAGAAATTTAGCTTGTCAAGTTGCCCTGACTATAAATATTTCCATTATACAAGTACAGAGGCTATAATCCTAGCACTTGGGAGGCTGAGGTATGAGGATTTCAAGTTCAAAACCAGCCTGGGCTTTACAGAGAATTCCTTTCACCCAGAATTGTTTACCTCAAAGGGCTACTATGAGAACCAAAGAGAACACAGGTAAGTTTTGTGTTAAGGTTCAAATAGTCTCACTCCCTCACCAACAGGGCTTCAGGGACCTCGCAAGCACCCTGGTCTTTGAAGTCAAGGAAGCAGACTTTTCTCCAATGTTTGGCCCACTCAGCAGGCTTCCTCTTTGATCTCTAAAGAGGGCAGGTTTTAACAGTCCCCTCCCCACTTTAAAAAATATATATCTTCCCATCCCACCTTCTGCACCCCCTAGAAGCCTCCCCCTATAAAAGATCCCAGCTTATGACCCAGGGCAGACATTTTCCCTGCCCGGAAGGGAATCTGTCCCATGTGTTCCTTTGCTAATAAACTCTATTCCACTGCAATTTTATCTATGTTCTGGTGCTTTCTCCCAATCAACCAGATTCATCCATCACCTACTTTACCTATCATTTTGGAAGCCAAATAATGATAATTATGGTAGTAAACTGTTTCAAAAATAGGAACACTAATTTAATTTAATTTTTCTTTTATTTTTTTATATAGAGCATAGGCTGGCCTAGAATTCACTAAGCACCCCAGATTAGCCTGGAACTCTTGATCTTACTGCCTCAGTCTCCCAATTGCCTGGAAAGATCACTTTTAATAACAGCTAGAATTATACACTCACTATTAACCCACACACAAAAACATGTTGAAACCAGGACATTTCATTAACTATTACTCATCATGCAACAGGAGCATAGCCAGGGTGGAGTGCTTGCCTAGCACTTGAGCTCAAGGTCCTAAGTTTGATCCTCAGGGCCACATAAAATAAAGTCTTAGTGAGAATGGTGGTACGCACTTGGAATATCAGAACCTGAAGGTGAAAGTAGGATCAGCAACTTAAGGACAATAGCAAGTTAGATGCCAGCCTGGGTTACAAGATACCTTGTCTCAAAAGAAAAAAAAAAAATCTACCAAACAATATAGAAAAAAGTTTATCAGCACTATCACTTTCTGTTCCTAAAATTCATCCACTCTTTAAATACTGCTATTGTAAACTAATTTGCATACTTTGCTTTCTGAAATGTATTAGTCACTTCCTTTTCTCCATATAGCCTGGGAAAGTAAGTGCTTACCTTGGCCAAATCTAAAGGTGTTTTGACCTCTACAGTCCTGTCAGGTTCAGGAAATGCAGGAACTTCCTGTTTGTTTCTTCCTTTCCTCCTACTTCGCTTCAGCTGGTCTAGTGATCTCCCATCTAAAATTTCTTTAAAGAATAAAATAAACAGAAATACAGAAAGAGAGAGAGAATAGTAAGGTTTTATTATTTAATTTATTTTTTGGTCTTTTTGAGACAAGGTCTCCCTGTAGCTGCAGCTGGCCTGAATTCGCTATGGAGACCAGATTGGCCTCAAACCCACAGAGAGCTGCCTGCCTTTGCCTCCAGGGGGGATATGGAAAGTGTTGGAGGGGAGGGAGTGGGCATGGATTTGATCAAAACACCTTATATGCATGTATGAAATTCTCAATAAAGCTTTTTTTAAAGTTAAAAAAAAAATAGAAGTGGGCTGGAGAGGTGGCTCAGCAATTAAGAACACTGGTTGTTCTTGCAAAAGACCTGGGTTCGAATCCTAGCACCCACATGGCAGCTAACAACTGTCCATAACTCCAGTTCCAGGGGATCTGATGGCCTCTTCTGTCCTCTGTGGGCATTGCATGACACAGATGCACTTACCTACATGCAGGCAATACACTCATACATAAAATAAAAGTAACAAATAAAATACTTTAAAAAATGGAAAAAAAAAAACCCACCAATGACAAGTTTAGGGGGCAGAGTGTGAGAATTATACTAAAATTTACCTGGAATCTCAAAGAACCCTGAATTGCAAAGCAATCTTAAGTCAGATAAATAAAGCTGGGACCCCACCTGTCTGTGGTTCAAGACTATGTGGACTGCTACAACAAAATACCAAAGATCAGATGACTTAAGCAAAAGACACTTTCCTGCATCCAAGTTCAAGGTGCCAGCCTATTCAAGCCCTGAAGAAGGCTCTTTTCCTTGTCTGCACACAGCCAGAACCTTCCCATGTGCTTCCATGACTTAATATTGTGCATATTTTGAGAGCTTTTGTGTTTCTTCCTCTTTCTACGGGGGCACCAGCCATGTCTGATTAAAGATCTGTCCTAGCTGGGATTAAAGGCCTGCACCACCATGCCCAGCTTATTATTTAATCTATACCTAAAAAACAGTAGGTAACTCATAACATTTACAGATAAAACATGAAATCAGGTAGAATTATTCTCAATCCAAAATTAAACCATCATTTCCATAACTTTAGTCAATGATAAAGAATTCAAACATGTTTGAAGATGAATAGTGCTAGCCAACCATGCAGGAAGCTCTGGGTTCCATGCCCAATATACAAAAAAAAAAAAACAAAAAAACTATTCTAGACCTTGTCTCAAAGAGACAGGAAAAAAAAAAAAAAGAACTCAAATAACACTGGCTGGGATCAATCACTTAAATTAGTCTGCTATTTTACACTGTGTAATAATAACAATGACATGTTATTTATTTGGTGTTCATTGTTTGTACTATAAATGGATACCGCAACACTTTATTTTCATCCAGGCATGCACATAATTAAAAATATCTCTTGGAGCTGGAGAGATGGCTCATTGGTTGAAAGCACTGAAGAAATACTTGGTGGTAGAAAATACCAAGGTCTTTAAATCTGGCCATTTATTTACCAATAAAATATATTTTTTTATATTATATTTATATATTTATAGATTGTCTTTTTGTGACAAGGTCTCCTGGTAGCCCCAGCTGGCCTGGAACTCAGTATGTGGATCAGGCTGGCCTTGAACTCACAGAGATCCACCTGCCTCTGCCTCCTCAGTGCTGGGATTAAAGGCATGCACCACCAATATATTATTTCCAATGTATGTTAGTGCATCCATGTCGTGCAATGCCCCAGAGGTCAGAAGAGGGCTTTGGATTCCCCTGGAACCGGAGTTAAGGACACTTTGTAGCAGCCATGTGGGCGCTGGGAATCAAACCCAGGTCATCTGCAAGAGCAGTCAGTGCTCTTAACCTCTGAGCCATCTCTCCAGCCCCTCCAATAATATTTTAATCATTAACTTACCATCTTTTTTCCTGCATTGCTGCAAAGGATCAGAAATCAACTCCTGATCATTCTTTTGCCATTTGGTTATAAGATCTTCTATGAATTGACCTTTTTTGCCCTCATTTCCCTGGAGGAGGTCTGTCACATATTCTCGTATCTCTTCAGCATTCTCAATTGACAAAACATACCTCAGGAATAAAGATATAAATTGTTGAAACAAGAGCAGTTTACCATATGCTTTTCAGAAATTATTATTTTTTTAAATATTTTTTTTATTATTTTTATTTTATGTGTATGAGTGTATTGCCTGCATGTAGGTAAGTGCTCACGGAGGACAGAAGAGGCCATCAGATCCCCTGGAACTGGAGTTACGGACAGTTGTTAGCTGCCATGTGGGTGCTGGGATTCGAACCTGGGTTTTCTGCAAGAACAGTCAGTATTCTTAACCACTGAGCCATCTCTCCAGCCCCTGCTTTTCAGAAATTATAAGAGATTAAGGTATTAAAATTATTCATTATGGCTAAGGATGAGTTTAGTCATAGATTGGTTAACACATATGTAATATTAGGTTCGATTGTCAGCACTGCTACACATACATGAACAAACAAAAAACATTCATTGATTTAGAAAGAAAGTTGGAGAGATGGCTCAGGGGTTAAGAGCACTTGTTGCTTTTGCAGAGGACCCATGTTAGGTTCCCAGCACTCACATGTAGCTCATAACCTTAACTGTAGTTCCAGGGGATCTGGTTCCCTCTTCTGGTCTCTGCAGGAACAGGGCACACAAATGGTGCCCATGCATACATATAGGCAAAATACACATATAAAATAAAAATAAATAAACCTATAAAAAATATTAAGAATGTTTACTTTGGGGCTGGAGAGATGACTCAGTGACTACTCCTACAAAGGACAAGGGTTCAGGTCCCAGAACCCACATAACAAGTTAGTAATGTCAGTTCCAGGGGAATCTGATGCCCTCTTCTGGCCTCTGCATGTAGTGTTCATACATGCTACACTCACATATATGCAGGCAAAACACTCATACAACATGAAAAAATAAAAATAAGTAAATGATTTTCTTTGAGCCAAGTACTATGCTAGATGCTAAGGATACAAATTTGATAAGGACAAAGAGCTGATATCAAGTAATTAATAATCTAACCTACATATATGTACTTAGGCATTTACTGTTTCTCTGTACTTTTTAGAATCTAATTAAGAAATTGTCCCATCATTGGTAGCACATGTACCAGAATTAGGTATGTTTAAACTGTGATCCATGGGTTCCATGCACCTCAGGACAGATATGAATGTGGCCACCCTGAAGTCTTAAAATTACTTAAAACATTTTAAGATTTTCTTCCTCCTCTTTTTCATAACTCAGTCACATGACTCTAGAGTTTGTGACACTTGTCACAATGTTAAAAAGTTGAATAAGGGCGGGCAAGATGGTTCAGTAAGTAGAGGAGCTTGTCACCAAGCCTAATGACCTGAGTTTGATCCCCAGTACCAAAGCTGGAAGAGAGCTGATTCCCACAAGTCATCCTCTGATCTCTGTATATGCGTACACACACACACACACACACACACACACACACGCACACACGCACACACACAGTGTAATAAAAATTGCTGTTTAAAAGGTTGACCATCTGTTAGACTCTTCAGGTGTAATGGCAGAAATGGCACTATGATCACCAAACAAGCTATGTCTTTTCAATTCACTAAGAGCATCTTCTAATCATCAAATTTAATTAGCTAACTTGTTTGGCTGATTTTTGTTTGAGGGCTATGGTTAAAAATACATGCTACCATGCCCAGCTTGGCTGTTCTTTTTAAAGATTCATTTATTTTTATTTTGTGTGTGTTTTGTCTGCATGTATTTAAGTGCATCACATGCAGGCAGCATTCATGAAGGTCAGAAGATGGCATCAGATTTCCTGGAACTGGAGTTACACACCACTGTCAGCCACTATGTGGGTGCTGGGAACCAAACTCCGGTCCATTGGCAGAGTAGCAAGTGCTCTTAACTGCTGAGCCATCTTGACAGTCACATTATATTTGGCTGATTTTAATTGTTGGGCAATGAACCAGGTGCCTTCCACATATTAGGCGAGCTTTTTACCACTGAGCTACATTCCAATCACCAGATTTAACTAAAAACAAAAAGAAAACACAACGGGGCTGGAGAGATGGTTTAGCAGTTAAGAGCACTGGTTGCTCTTGCAGAGGCCCCAGGTTTGATTCCCAGCACCCACATGGCAGCTAACTACCATCAGTAACTTCAGTTCCAGGGAAACCCGATGCCCTTTTCTGACCTCCATGGGCACTGCACGATATGGGTGCACCTATATACACACAGGCAATACACTTATACACATAAAATAAAAATAAATGTTTTGTTAAAAACACAGTGACTTTTCAGGACTTACACATTTTAATTGCTTTGATTTTTAAACTTACAAGCCCCATGAATAGATTGTTACCATCAAAGACTCACAGAACTGTAAGGAATTTAAAAGATCATTTAATCCTGGAGTTTTCAAACCATAAGGGAAGTAAAGGACTCTATGAGTAGATTTCATTTTTTTTTTGGTTTTTGGGAGGGGGTCTTTTTGAGAGAGGGTCTCCCTGTAGCTCCAGTTATCCTGGAACTCACTATGTAGACCAGGTTGACTTTGAACTCAGAGATTCGCCTGCCTCTGTCTCCCCAGTTCAGGGATGAGTAAATGTAATTTTAACTATTTAACACAGTATAATAAAAGACAAAGTAAAGTCACCCAAAACATGAATTCATACAGATTGTGGAATAAAGTCTATTTTACTAACTTTAGGTTCAGATCTTTAAGTCTTATATCACTCATTGGGAGGTTAGTAATTTTATGCTTTTTTTTTGGTCTTTTCGAGACAGGGTCTCCCCGTAGCCCTAGCTGTCCTGGAACTCACTATGTAGACCAGGCTGGCCTTGAACTCACAGAGATCCGCCTGCCTCTGCCTCCCGAGTGCTGGGATTAAAGGCGTGCACCACCACGCCCAGCTCTATGCTGTTTTTAATATTTAGGACACTTATATAAAACTTTTCAAGTTAGTACAATATTACATTTTTGTATATTACATTTTTGTTATTTGCTATTAAATGTCAGACAATTAAATGTTTTCATCTTGGCATAACAGCCTGTTGTTCACCAACTAATAAATATTTAATAAGTAGTTCAAACAGTTTTATATTATAGTTAGCGTTAGTGTTTATGTTCTTCAGAAACACTTCTTGTTTAACTTAAGATTTTTTTAAAAATGCAAGCAGGTGTTTGGCCATACTTGAGTGTCATCTTGAAGCTGGGCATGGTGCCACATGACTTTAAACCCAGCATCCAGGAGGCAGAGGCAGGTGGATCTCTGTGAGTTCAAGGTCACCCTGGTCTACATATCCAGTTCCAGGCCAGTTGAGGCTACAAGGGCACCCTGTTCCTCCAAAAAAAAAAAAAAAAAAAAGTTTCATTCAAACAGTCAGACTGTCTTAACTTGGTCTTATTTCTTTTTTCAATTTTTTTTTTTAAATTTCACGTGTATGAGTATTGCCTGAATGTATGTGAGTGCACCCATGTCGTACAATGTCAAGGAGGTCAGAAGAGGGCTTCAGATTCCCCTGGAACTGGAGTTAAGGAAAGTTCGTAGCCACCATGTGGGTGCTGGGAATCGAACCCAGGTCCTCTGCAAGAGCAGTCAGTGCTCTTAACCGCTGAGCCATCTCTCCAGCCCCATCTTGGGCCTTATTTCTTAGTATCGTGGAGTAGCAATTTTGTTTTCAGCAACAGTGAACAGGGAATCAAATTAAGGAAAACTCAGTTTTGTTTTTTTTTAATTGTCTCATTTTTTCATCTTTCTACTTTGAACTTCAGCTTCTACCTATCCTTCAGTTCTCAGGTAAAAGGCATCCTTTCTAGTAAATTTTAAATGTCTCAAATCATAATGGAGATCCTTTATTACAAAACACCTTCAACTTTCTGCCATCTCAAAACTCAACACAGAATAATCCAATGGTCTTAAACGTCTTTGTTACCCACAGTCTGGCATGTAGTAGAGTGCAACAAATGTAGATAATCAGTTGAAAGCAGATATTAAATAATCTTCATTATCTATTTCTTAGGAATTTTAAGATTCTAAAGACAGGCTCTAGTAATTACCCTTTACAGATAAGGGGAAAAAGGAACAGGGAAGGAAATTAATTTGCCAAAGGTTCCAAAACAGATTAAATAACAACAGAAAACAGAAGCTGTCAGGAAGGGACATGTACTGTCCCATGTCACTCCCGATTAAATTCTAGGTCCTACTTGATACAATTCAGACTTGGCAAACCACAAAGTTCAGAGTAAGGAATTTCTGGAATGACAATTTGGTCCATTCTCTCCAATATGTAAGCACGCTGGTCCTGGGACAATCTCACAAATCTCACAGGTCAAATTATTAAGGACTTACCACTTTGCTAGGATAGTGTGAGGCCCCTACCACACTTCCAGAAGCTAAACTGGAAAAGTAGAGGCCAACATTCGAACCCTACAGACCAACCGCAGCCCTTTAATTATATTTCCTTTAGTTAATCAACTTTTTAGTCCTCCCCACTTGCCTATCCGCTTTACCAGTGCACGTATCAGAGCTGCTTCCCACCTCGGACCCTGAACCCATCTTACTGTATGATCTCTTCGCTGACATCCAAGGCAAACGTTTTCCGCAACTGCTGGGTACACCAGTGAACCAGCGGCTCCCGGGACACCACCCCAGCTGCCGCCATCTTTCGCAGCCGGAACCAGCTGGGCTGCGAAAGCCACCGGTCCTGCACCGGACTAGTTCCCTTCGCAACTCCAACCCGGATGACAAAGGTTCCGAAGCTCGCACAGCCCCTACTGTCGCACTCCCAAGGTGGCAGATCCCGCCCTCCTGCGCCTCCTCCTGCTTCTACCAGCTTCCGGGTCCGTTTATACGTGTGCAGGAGCTAGATCGGCGGTTCTTCCACTTTGATGTGGAACTCGAGGAAGGCCATTGACAGCTCTGCTAAGAAGATAACGGGCGCACCTATAAAGGAGATGGTTTGGGAATAAGAAAACAGTACCCTCAAAGATGGATACTGTTTATTCTGGTTTTGATTGCAGAGCATTTAAAACAGCTCTTGTCCGGAGGTTAACAAATTCAAAGCCTGTGTGACCCTACACAAAGAATTCAAAGCCAGTCTGTACCATAGCAAGATCCTGTTTCAAAAAATGAAAAGAGGGATGGGAAAAAGACTGGGAATATAGTTTAGTGGTACAGTGCCTACTTAGCATATAACAACATCTGAGTTCAAGCCCCAGTCCCATAGGCCAAACAGAACAAAACGTTGTTCCCAGCCCTTGAAAACCATTAGTAAGCACTATCACAGTTTTTCCTCTGGTGATGGAAGTATTTATGGTGAGTGCCCTCTATAATTGAGTACTAGATTCACTTAGATAGAATATGTGAATTGCAGGTCTGGAGAAATGGCTCAGCGGTTAAGAACACGGGTTGTTCTTGCAGAAGGCCCGGGGTTGGAATCCCAGCACCCATAAGGCAGCTAACAACTGTCCATAACTCCAGTTTCATGGGATCAGACAGCCTCTTCTGTCCTCCGCAGGCATTGCACCACACGGGTGCACTTACCTACGTGCAGGCAATACACACATACACATAAAAATAATAATAAATAAATAAAAATATGTGAATTGCAGAAGAGCCACAAGCGTCATTAGGGAAAACCATAAATCCTTAAAGTGTCTAACTGGGCCTAAATTGACAGCCTGGCCTTGCTCTAGCCTTATCATCTGGTCACTCCCTGGACTGAGAGACAGAGACTGTGGAGCTCACCTGTCTCTTTTAGTGCTATAGATAACTCACCCACCTGTCTGAGAAAAGAGACTCTCAAGGACACCAAACCTGGGCACTAATTCAGCTCCCTACAAAGTGCAGCTGTATCTCACAACTTTCACATAAACACCTCCCCCCTTCTTTGTCTAGTGGTAGAAGCTTGGTTCCAGAGGTCAGTCTCTACCTCTCACTGTATCTTCTTTGAATAAAGAAAGATATATTCCTTGCCTGTTGCAGGTCTGGCTCTGTTTTCTTATCTCCTACTCCTCTATCTTTTATTTTATTCTCCAAAAATCTAACACACTCAGCTACAGCCTCTTTAAATTTTTGAGCCAGGTCTTTTCAAGGAGGGCCAAGATATCTCAGTAAACTCAAGAGATTGGGGGATTGGCTTTTTTAAAAAGTTAGGTGCTAGGATTTGGTTTCAAAAACTTTTCACATGAATTTTCGACCCAAGATGACCACACTCAAAGATCTTCTACAATTCTCCATTATGCCAAGACTAGGGAAAAATTAGTCAAATTTCCCTTTTCATTCAAGGTTTCCTTTTCCTTATATTTACAGGTTTAATTTGTCCTTTGTTTTTATTTTTAAATTTTATTTATTTAATTAGTTCTTTTATGTGTATGAATATTTTGCCTCCATGAATGTAAGTGCACAATGTGCATACAATCCCGTGGAGGTCAGAGGAGGCCATCAGATTCCCCTAGAATTGGGGTTATGGATGGTTCTTAGCCACCATGTAGGTGCTGGGAACTGAACCCCAATCTTCTGCAAGAACAGCCAGTGCTCTTAACTGCAGAGCCATCTCTCCATTCCCTCTATTATTTTTACTTTTATTTTTAGTTTTTGGAAATAGGGTCTCTCTGTGGCCTCAGCTGATCTGGAACTCGCTATGTAGACCAGTCTGGCCTCAGTCTTACAGAGATCTACCAGCCTCTGATGCCAAAGTGTTGAGACTAAAGGTGTGCACCACCACATCTGGCTCATTCCTATTTATTTAATTTTAATTTAAAAATTTTCTCCAGGCAGGCCTGGAGAAATGGCTCAGAGGTTAAGAGCCCTGGCTGTTCTTGCAGAGGATCAGGGTTTGGTTCCCAGTCCCCACATGGCAACTAACAACTTTCAGCAGCTCCAGTTCCAGGGATTCTATCCTCTGACCTCCATGGGTACTGCATGACTCCAGTGCACTTACATACATGCAGGCAATACACTCATACACATAAGAAAATAAACCAATATTTTTTTTTAGTTTTGGATTTATTTTTATTTTATGTGTATGAGTGTTTTGCCTTTACTTATGTAAGTGTACTGCTGTTAGTGCAAAGCCTGCAGAGGCCAGAAGAGAGTGCCTTGGAACCAGAGTTACAGACCACTGTTAGCTGCGTGTAGGTGTTGGGAATTGAACCTGGGTCCTCTGGAAAAGCAGCCAGTGCTCTTAACTGCTGAACCATCTCTCCAGCCCCTCATTCCTAAATGGAGTACAGGCAGTTGTGCATGGCCAGACTTGAGTGCTGGAAACTGAACCTGGATTCTCTCCAAGAGCGTTCCTTAAGCACTCTTAACCACTGAGCCATCTCTCCATACCCCTGTTTTCTGCTTTTTGAGAAAGGATCTCATGTAGACCCGTCTTGCCTGAAACTATGTAGAAGGTTTGGAGGTTGGTCTTAAACTCCTGATCCTCATGCTTTTACCTGATAAGTAGTAAGATTACAGTTTTACCCATTATACATGGCTTACACTGAATTTAGATTGTTTTTGTCGTTAATTTAGAAAACCTGGTTTTCTGGCATTGTTTTATTTTTTTAAGTATTACATTATTTATTTGTGCTTGTGTGTATGTGTGTGTGTGTGTGTGTGTGTGTGTGTATACAAACCTGTGTATATCTGTGGGTGTGCACGTATACTATGGTGCATGTGTAGAGGTCAGAGGATAACTTGCAGTAGTCAGCTCTCTCCTTCTGCAATGTGGAGTCTGGCAATCACTCAGGTCATCAGCCTTCGCAACAAGCACCTTTATCCCCTGAGTCTTCTCCCTGGCCCACCAGATTTTTTTTTTTTTTTAAATTTTTAGACAGGATCTCACTGTGTAGCCCTGGTTTGCCTGAAGCTCACTGTGTAGACTAGACTGGCATTTAACTCACAGCTCATTGGGCTCCATCTGCTTCTGCTGCCACAGTGCTGGAACTAAGGTGTGTGCCACTATGCCCAGGCCCACCTACTTTTTAAAAAAAGCAAAATGCAGTCAGTGTTCATTAATGGTAAGTATAGGTTTTGTGTCTTCATAAAAATCTGATGAACTCATGGGGCTGGAGAGATGGCTTAGTGGTTAAGAGCACTGACTGCTCTTGCAGAGTACCTGGGTTCGATTCCCAGCACCCACATGGCGGCTACAAACCGTCCTTAACTCCAGTTTCAGGGGAATTTGAAACTCTCTTCTGACCTCCGCGGCATTGCACAACACAGGGTGCACTCACGTACATGCAGGTAATACACTCATACATATAAAATAAAAGTAATAAATAAAAAAATTTTTTTTTGGTCTTTTTGAGGCAGGGTCTCCCTATAGCCCCAGCTGTCCTGGAACTCACTATGTAGACCAGGCTGGCTTTGAACTCACAGAGATCCACCTGCCTCTGCCTCCAAGTGCTGGGACTACAGGCACGTGCCACCACGCCCTGCTAAAAGTAATAAATAGAATACTTTTTTAAAAATCTGACGGGTGTGGTGGGGCACACCTTTAATCTCAGCACTCGGGAGGCAGAGGCAGGTGGATCTCTGTGAATTCAAGGCCAGCCTGGTCTACATAGTGAGTTCCTGGACAGCTGGGGCTACAGGGAAACCCTGTCTCAAAAAGACAAAAAAAAAAAAAAAATCTGACGAACTCATTACTAGTTGTAATGTATACGTTCCTATACCTTTTTGTATACTTTTTCATTTCCATAGTTTAGTAGCTCGCTTAGTGGTAGAGTCTACTCATAATATATGTAAGACCTTGGATCACATCCCCAGCAACAGGAATACATTTAGGCTGAAATTCTATTTATACATACTACAACTTTTCTGAGTATTTTTTTTTTTTTTCTTCTTTGAAAAATTTCTACTACAGCTTTCTTTTCTGGAGAGATGACTCAGCGGTTAAGAGCATTGACTGCTCTTGCAGAGGACCGGGGTTCGATTCCCAGCACCCACATGGCGGCTACAAACTGTCCTTAACTTCAGTTCCAGGGGAATCCGAAGCCCTCTTCTGACCTCCTCGGCATTGCACGACACAGGTGCACTCACCTACATGCAGGCAATACACTCATACACATAAAATTAAAAACAATAAAATAGTAAAAAAACATTTTTTAAGGGTTGGGTATGATGGTGCCTGCCTTTAATCTCAGCACACAAGAGGCAGAGGCAGGTGGATCTCTGTAAGACTGAGACCAGCCTGGTCTACATAGAGAGTTCCAGGTCAGCAAGTGCTACAGGGAGACTCTGTTTCAAAAAACAAAATAAAAAACCAAAGCAGATTTACTAATTAATTTATTTTGTGGCATCTACACATGTGGGTTAGTCTCTCTAGCCAATCTCTGCATATGTCAAGGATGTAAATTCAACAGTAAGCAATTTAGACCTATGCAGGAGGGTCTTTTTTTTTTTTCTTTTTTTTTTTAGACAGGGTCTCCCTGTAGCCCCAGTGGACCTGGAATTCGATATGTAGACCAGGCTGGCCTCAAACTCACAAAGATCCGCCTGCTTCTGCCTTCTTGTAGTACCCGGGATTAAAACCGCCAGGCCAAGAGGGTCTTTAACTGAAAAGGAAACAACCATTTAAGAACCTACCTGCATTTAAATGAGGCCTACTGACAACAAAAGAATATCCTGAAGCTTGTTGATCTTTCTGGTGAGAATTTGGTTGTAACCTTACACTCCAGGCTTAAGATAAAAACAACAGGTAACTGCCAAGGTCTCTCCTATTATTATAATGTTAATTCAACCATTCCCTGAACCCTTTCATTCTTTTTTTTTTAAAAAATAAAATTGTCTTTTTAGCCAGGCATTGTGGCACGGCTTTAATCCCAGCACTTGGGAGGCAGAGGCTGGTGGATCTCTGTGAGTTCAAGGCCAGCCTGGTCTACATAGTGAGTTTCAGGCTAGCTGGGGCTACAGGGAGAACCTGCCTCAAAAAAGACCAAAAAAAAAAAAAAAAAAAAAAAAGTCCTTTTAGATAGTCTTGTCATCTAGCCCAAACTGGCCTGGAACTCAAGATCTTCCACTTGCTGCCTCCTCAGTGCTGGGATTACATAGTGCACATCAGGCCTGGCTTTAAAACCTTTTAATTGTGTAATGCAGTGTATTGTTGATTTGGTCAAGGTACAGTCTAGATTTTGTTGTTGTTCAGGCATATTTCACTAGAGAGAATCAGTTCTACAGTTAAATTTTCAAGTTTGCCTTTCAAACAAGCAATTAACAGATATAGTTCTGTTTTAGGAATAGTATTGAGTGGAAAAAAATTTCTTAGGGGGTACTGGAACTAGACTAGAAACGTAAGACAGAAAATATTTATCTCTTTATTGTAGTGTTGTACACTCATGTGGGCCAGAGATGTGGCCTTTGTACATACAGTTAGCGGACTTTTAGCTCTACAATTATATTTTCTTTTTATGTATGTATGGACAATTTACCCAGGTTTTTTTTTTTTTTTTTTGACCCACATGATCTGAAAAACCTTTAAAAACATGTAAAATAAGTTGTATTTATTTCCTTTCCCTTGTTCAAGAAAATTGCTTTAGTATAATACTGCAGAGTTCGTGATTAGGATCTTAAACTTCCCTATTTTTGATTTGCATCAAAAAGTCGACTTAATTTTAAGTTTCACTTTCAGAGTTTAATCATCACGGATTTAACCCTGTGGTATCTTCTGAAGAAATAGTGCAACTCCACATCTTTGATAGGTTTCATTCAGCAGGCCTATCTGGCTAGTTCCCAGCTCCTGTGCCCGCTCTCGCTGCGCCCCTGGAAAGCGTCCTGGCACCGCCCACCAGGAGCGGGTACGAATCACAGCTGCTGAGGCTGATGGACTGGCCAGCCGAGCCTTAAGTCTTGCTGCTGTCACCGCTGGACCCTGGCGATTGGTTCAGGGTGAAGGCGCGGAACCAATGGGAGCCGCGGCTCGCGAGAGTGCATGGAGCGCGCGGGAAAGAGACCCTTATAAACTGTGGCGGGAGAGTCGTTTTCGGGTCCTTGTCTAGTGAGGCATCTTTGCGTGGAGTCAGTCATTTCGCGGTCTCCTCGGGTTTGAGCATGGTGCGGACTAAAGCCGACTATGTCCCAGGCACCTACAGAAAAGGTGAGGGAGGGCGAGGGCGGGGTGGGGCTCGCAGCGCATCTGCATCCCACCGAGATGGAGATGCCTCGGCGGTCCCCGATGCTGTGGTAGCCAGGAAGCAGGCTCCGGGCCTCACTTCCCGGAAGCAGCAGGGAGCCGGCAAGGTCGCTCTGCTGCTCCTCATCCCCCGACAATCCTCTGGGGCCGACACCGTGGTGAGATCATGCTCTGGGACGCGGAGCCTCAGGGCCCGCCTGTCCACCTCTCAAAGCCTCCCTTTGCCTCTCTTTGCAGTGGTGGCTTCTCGAGCCCCCAGGAAGGTGCTTGGTTCCTCCAGCTTTGTCACTAATTCTCCGTCGTGTTCGTCGAGGAAAGGTAGGAAGGGTTCTGGAAGCTCCCGGAACGAGGGGAACACTTCTGAATGACGATCAGGCCTGGTACTGCAGTCCTGGCCTGCGAGGCCCTGGCCCACAGTGGATTGGTTTTTATTCACTTTCCTTGCCCGGAACTTATTTCCCTTGACATCCTCACGCTTAAATTTATTCCTCTGAGGGGGTCCTGGTCTTTCCGTGGGCTTGGACGGGAGTGAAGGATCTCATGGAAGAGACTCTCAAGTCTTGGGGGTGGTGGACACAGTTTATTTTTAAACCTACTTTTCTTTGTCGAATTAATGTTTAACATTTTTTCTTAGTATTAACAGCCAGTATTTTGTTAGAGACGATTTAACCACCTCAGTAGATTTACGATGATGGTTGATGTACTAAGCACATTCTTTTGGAGTGTGTGTGTGTCTGTGTCTGTGTATGGAATGAACTCTCTGGGGATTGAACCCTGGGCCTTGCCCTTGTTGGGCACTCTACCACCACTGAGCTACATCCTCAGCCTACACTGTCTTAGTATAAGTTCTTTTCTGATTTTGTTTCTGCATTCTTCCCTTCCCTTCTTATCTTGCTTTAGGGTCTCACATAGCCCAAGTTGGCCTTGAAATCTATATGTACAAAGGATAACTTTGAACTCCTGATCCTTTGCCTTCACCCCCAGAGTGCAGGAATTACAGGCATGTACCACTGATGGCTGGTTTATTTGCTGTTTATTGCATGCTAAGCAACTCCAAATGAGCAACAACCATAGTCTCTCTCTTCTTCCCTCCCTCCCTTCCTCCCTCTTACCTTTCTCTCTGGCTAGAGAAATGGCTCAGCAGTTAGGTTCAAAACACTGGCTGCTCTTCCAGAAGGCTTGAGTCACATGCACACACACGCACACATACATACACACAACACACACACACACAATTAAAAATAAAATCTTTAGCTGGGTGTGGTGGCACATGGCTTTAATCCCAGCACTCAAGAGGTGGAGGCAGGCAGATCTCTGTGAGTTCGAGGCCAGCCTGGACTACCTAGCAAGTTCAGGCTAGCTGGGACTACAGGGAGACGCTGCCTCAAAAATAAAAAAATCTTAAAAAACAGTATAAATCATATAACTTCAGACCATCTATATGAAAACAATTGTTATAAGCTTTCATTAACAGCTACAGTTTGTGACAAACATTTTTGGTCAAAACAAAAAATACATATTTCAGTTTTCTTGGTTTACTGATCAGTATTTTTAAGTTTGTAAAGGTTTTTGGGTTTTTTGTCTTGTTTTGAGACAGGGTCTCCCTTTAGCCCCAGCTGACCTGGAACTTCCTATGTAGACCAGGGTGGCCTCAGTCTCACAGAGATTCTCCTACCTCTGCCTCCTAAGTGCTTCGACTAAAGGCATTCACCATCATGCCCAGCTCTATTTTTATTTTTTGTGACAGGGTCTCATATAGCCTAAGTTAGCCTCAAACTCATTATGTGGCTGACTTCAAACTCCTGATTCTCCTGTCTATACTTCCCCAGAGCTAGGATTATAGATGTGAATTACCACTCCTGGCTCTCCTATAATTACTTTATAAAGGGAAAATTTTTTTCCTTAATTTTTCTTTTATTAAAAATATTTTATGTATATGAGTGTATTGCCTGAATGTATGTGAGTGCACCTGTGTTGTGTGATGCCGCGGAGGTCAGAAGAGGGCTTTGGATTTCCCTGGAACTCGAGTTAAGGATGGTTCATAGCCGCCATGTGGGTGCTGGGAATTGAACCCAGGTCCTCTGCAACAGCAGTCAGTGCTCTTAACTGCTGAGCCATCTCTCCAGCTCCTAATTTTTCTTTTATATTACTGTTAAAAGTTAGCCAGGAATTAGATTATCTTTATGAACTGAAAAGGGATCAAGTGCTTTCAAAAGTGGAATCTACTTTCATATGATTCACACTGCCTCCCCCTACCTCCAAGTATTAAGGACTGAATCTAGGGCCTTGGGCATGCTAGGCATGCATTCCATCACTGAACTGTATCCTTAGCTCTAGTTTTACTCTTTTTTGGTGGGGGAGCAGTTGGATAGGGTTTCAGTAGTTTGCCTGGAGCCGTGGGGGGGAGGGGAGAAGGTGTAGGCAAAATGGCTCAGTGGGTAAAGATGCTTGCTTGCTGCCATTCCTGACTATGTGAGTTCCATCCCCAAGACATACATGGTAGAAGGAGATAATTCCCAAGTTCTCTTCTGACCTGCACCATATTTATTGCACACAATAAATAGAATGTAATAAAAATGTAAGCTGGGTGTGATGGCACAGCCTTTAATCCCAGTATTGAGAGGCAGAGGCAGGCTGATCTCTGTGAGATGGAGGCCAGCGTTGACTACATAGTAAATTTCAGGCCAGCTGGGGCTACAGGGAAACCGTGTCTCAAAAAAATAAAAATTAAAAAAAAAAGGTAATAATGTAAAAAATACTAATTTGCCTAGGCTAACTCTAAGCTCACTCTATAGTTCAGGAATGCTTTGAATGATGAATCCTCTTGCTTTAGCCTCCACCAGGCCTGGCTTACTTTGCATCTTTAATTAAATGACCTTATTGGGTTAGGAATGTAGCTCAGTAGTTGAACATTTGTCTAGTGCATGTGAAGCCCTAGGTTCAATTTCCAATACAACATCCACACACCCACATACAACCCTATAAATAAATAAATGACCTTAGTAAATAAAATTTGGACAGTTTATCCTACATGATACTTACATTAGGAAAAAAAGTATTAAGTGTGTAATCCCAATATTAGGAGGTTGAGGCAGGAAGATTGATAGTTCAAGGCCAACCGAACTAGACAATGAGTTCTAGGCCAGCCTCAGCCACATAGTGAGATCCTGTCTCAACCTCTTCTCCCACCCCCAGTAAAATCTAGGCATAGTGGCTCATCCCTGTAATCCCAGCATTTGGGAGGTAGAGGCAGGAGGGTATCTTCAGCTATAGTAAGTTAAGGCCAGCCTGGGCTACATGAGATTGTTACCAAAGCAGAAAAATACAACAACAACAATAACAAAAAAAAACCCAAACGAGTATATCTAATTTTAGTATGACAGTACATAAGACTATTTGAATAGGTGTTCTTGTGGACAAAATATGAAAAACATTTTTTTTTCTTTTGGTCTTTTTGAGACGGGGTCTCCCTGTAGCTCCAGCTGACCTGGAACTCACAGAGATCTGCCTGCCTCTGCCTCCTAAGTGCTGGGATTAAAGGCGTGCGCCACCAGCCTGGCCCCAGAAAACATTTTTGAGTTAAAAAAATTCTGTTCAGCCGGGTGTGGTGGCGCAGGCCTTTAATCCCAAAAGGAAAAAAAAAAATTCTGTTCTACTGTTTTTCTTGGATAAATTATCAAACTGAATTGACTGAATATAGTGTCATGTCACATTTTTTTTCTTTATTTTAAATTATGTATATGTGTGAGGGGGTGTGTGCACGTGTGTTCAGGTGCTTGTCAAGGTCAGAAGCTAGGAGCTTTAACTCCCTCTGAAGGTGGAGTTACGGGTGGTTATGAATTTCCTGATGTGAGTGCTGGTAATTGAACTCTGGTCCTATGGAAGTGCAGTATGTGTGCTCTTAATCACTGAGCTACCTCTTCTGCCCTCTTTTTCCTTAATTTTTTTCTGGTTTTGGTCTTTTTTGAGACAGGGTCTTACTGTAGCCCCAGCTGGCCTGGAACTCATGATCTGCCTGCCTCTGCCTCCCAAAAGCTGGGATTAAAGGTGTGCACCACCATGCCTGACTTTCCTTAATTAAAAAAAAATTATAATTATTATTGTGGGGGGCGTGGTTCAGCATGAATGTGGAGGTCAGAGGACAACTTTCGGGAGTTGGTTCTTTTCTTACACTTTATGTAGCATTGGGGATTGAACTCAGGTCATCAGGTTTGTGTGGCAAGTATTTTACCCCATGAGTCATCTTGCCAGCTTGCTTTTGAAAAAATTTTTATTAATGCAGGGTGTGGTGGTACACAGCTTTAACCCCAGCACTCAGAACGTAAGTGGATCTCTGAGTTCCAGGCCAGCTTGGTCTACATAGTGAATTCTAGGCCAGCCAGGGGCACATGGTGAGACCCCGTATCAAAAACAATTTTTTTTTTATTATTATTTGTGTGTGTGTGTGTATGTGTGTGTGTGTGTACACCTGTGTATGGTGTTGGATCCCCTGGAGCTGGAGTTTCAGGCACTCCTGATATGAGTGTATGAGTGCTGGGAACTGACTCTGGTTCTTTGAAAGACTAGCAAACGTTCTTAACCACTAAGCCATCTCTGCAGTCCACACTTTCTAATTTAATATGAATAAAATATCATTTAATACTTTTGGGAGCCTGTTATTAAAAAGAGAATTAGGGGGCTGGAGAGATGGCTCAGTGGTTAAGAGCAATGACTGCTCTTGCAGAGGAGCCAGGTTCGAACCCAGCAACCACATGGCAGCTACGAACCGTCCTTAACTCCAGTTCCAGGGGATTTCGACACCCTCTTCTGACCTCCGAGGCATTGCGTGACACGGGTGCAGTCATGTACATACATGCAGGCAATACACTCATACACATAAAATGAAAATAAAAAAGAATTAGGTTCTTTAAGGAATGGCAGTTATATTCTTTGTTCTTACTTAGTTCTGTTTCTATTTTACAGCTGAAAATAAGTATACAGGAGGGAATCCAGTTTGTGTGCGCCCAACTCCGAAGTGGCAAAAAGGAATTGGAGAATTCTTCAGGCTGTCCTCTAAAGATTCTGAAAAAGAGAATCAGATTCCTGAAGAAGCAGGAAGCAGTGGCCTGGGAAAAGCAAAGAGAAAGTAAGTTTGTATATTCTGGAAGACAGAAAATATCCTTTCCTATAAAGGATAAATGGAAAGAGAAATTTAAAAATTTCCCTTCACCAGGCGTGGTGGCACAGGCTTTTAATCCCAGCACCCGGGAGGCAGAGGCAGGTGGTTCTCTGTACGTACAAGGCCAGCCTGGTCTACATAGTGAGTTCCAGGCCAGCTGGGGCTATAGGGAGACCCTGTCTCAAAAAGAACCCCCCCAACAAAAAAAATTCAAGCCAATAAGAAAATATCAACCATGTGGTTTTTTGCTTTGTTTTGTTTCTTTTCTTTTCTTTTCTTTTTTTTTTTTGAGACTATAGCCCTGGCTCGCCTGGAACTCTGTCTCTGGAATAGTGGGATTAAAGGTGTGGACCACCATGCCTGGTCATGTTTTTTTTTTTTTTTCCTTTTAATCTCTACTAATTTCTTATGTCATTCCAAATTTCAAATATCTGCAAAAGTTATCTATTTTACTCTACAACGGAATTCAGTTCCTATTCATTTATTATGCCTTTACTTTTTGTTTGTTTTGAGACAGGGTCTCACTGTGTAACACTGGCCTGCCTCATATTCACAGAGATCTGCTTGCCCCTGCCTCCTAAGTGCTGGGGCTAAAGGTGTACACCACTACACCCACTCACTTTTATTTAATTTTTACTGTCTTTTTTTGGTGTTTGAGACAGAATCTTATAAAGCCCAGGGTAGACTTGAACTTTCTGCTCCTGCCTCAGCCTCAGCCTGTCCAGTGTTGAGATGACAAGCATGAGCTACCACACTTTGTTGTCTCCTTCCCTCATTCCTTCCCTCCCTCCTTTCCTTCTTCCTTTCTGTCTTCTCTCTCTTCTTCCCTACTCCCCTCTTGCTAGCTTTTACTGTTTACAAAAAGAAATTTTTGTAAAAAATTCTTGAATTTTTCTTGCTAGCTTGAATTCCATTAGGCCCCTTGACCCTCAAAAAATGACTAGTTTGGGGCTGGAGAGATGGCTCAGGGGTTAAGAGCACTGACTGCTCTTACAGAGGACCCAGGTTCAATTCCCAGCACTCACATTGGGGTTAACAACTGTAATTCCAGATGCTCTCTTCTGACCTCTTTGGGCATTGCATGACATGGGTGCACCATCTACATGCAAGCAATACACCCATACACATTAAATAAAAATAAATAAAAAATTAAAAAATGGCCAGGTGTGGTGGCCCACGCCTTTAATCCCAGCACTCGGGAGGCAGAGGCAGGTGGATCTCTGTGAATTCAAGGCCAGCTTGGTCTACAGCTGGGGCTACAGGGAGACAAGGTCTCAAAAAAGACAAAAAAAAAAAAAAAAAAAAAAGACTAGTTAGGGATTGGGGTATAGAACCAATACTTAGCAATTATGAGGTCCTGAGTTTAGTTTCTGGTACCAAAACAAGTAAGAATACTAGTGTTCAACTTCCACAAGAAATATATAACCAATGCAGAAAAATCTTTATATCTTCTTAATAGAGCCTTAAGAATTCTCCAAACTGGGTGTAAAACTATTTATATACGAAACTTCAGTGTGCAAAAAAAATTTCTTTATAGGGTTTCATTATGTAGCTCTGGCCTGAAACTTGCTATATAAACCAGACTGGCCTTGAATTCACAGAGATTCACCTACTTCTGCTTCCTGAGTGCTGGGCAGTGTGCAAACTTCTTAAGAATGTAAGTAAGCCAGGCAAGGTGGCTCATACCCTTAATCCCAGCACTTGGGAGGCAGAGACAGGTGGATGTCTATGAGTTCGAGGCTAGCCTGGTCTACATAGTGAGTTCCACAGGAAGACCCTGCTTCAAAAAAAAAAAAAAAAAGAAAGAAAGAAAAAGCACATAAAAAGGGCTGAAGTTATGAGGGTGTAGTGTAGCTCAGTGGAAGAACACTTGCTTCAAATGTTCAAGGTCCTAGGTTCATTGTCTTGAAAAAAAAAAGTATTAGAAAAAAATACTTGTAACCTGTAAGTAATGGGATCAGGGATCTCTCTTTTTGTGTGTGTTGGTTGGGAGGAGTGCATATGCCACGGATCTGAGTGGAGGTCAGAAGACAACTTTCAGGAGATAGTTTTTTCCTTCTACCTTTACATGGGTTCCAGGGATCTAACTCAGGTCTTCAGTGCTTCCATGGCAAGCACATTTTCCTTTTAGCCATCTCACCCTTGCTTTTTAAGAAATATTTTAATTCTAGTCGGGCGTGGTGGCGCATGCCTTTAATCCCAGCACTTGGGAGGCAGGGGCAGGTGGATCTCTGTGAGTTCCAGGCCAGCTATGGCTACAGCTGTCTCACAAACACACAAAAAAAAGTTTAAATTTTTGGGGTGAGAGAGATGCCTCAGCAGTTAAGAGCACTTCCTGCTCTTGCAGAGGGCCTGGGTTCAGTTCCCAGCACCTATATGACAGTTACACAACCACCAGTTGTGCACTCCAGGTCTAGGTGATGTGACACCCTCTTCTGGCCTCTGCAGGCACTGTGAACTTGCATAAATGCAAATAAAATACTTATAAAATAAAAATAAATAAAATACT